AAATCACCGGTGATTTCCGATATACCCGAAACGCCCTGAAAAATTAGCAAGTGTCAGGTAGCTGACAGTAAGGCACCAACATGACACTGTATGAATTCTGACTTTTGTTCCTATTCCTTTGATAAGAGTCCTGCATTCTGATTGGTAAACCTCTTCGAACAACACAACCATAATGAAACAGTGGTATGCAGTACGCTCGCCAGTGCTGTCAAGAACCTTAGCGGTCGATGACAGAACTGAAAGCTCGGAAGCTGCCAGTGTTGCTTCATCCCTTTCGGAATGCGCCATGCATACCACTTTCATCCGGAACGGTCCTAGCTCCTCGAACACGATGTGGCCCATAATATTATCTTGTATTCAGGTGTATAAGGTGCACCAGTGCTGCCTTTATCGCCTTACAGTGCCTGTTTTTCGTTTATTCTTTTTTCGCTGCAGTCGCTGGGTCGTGTCAAGCTGGCGTCGCGTCAAACCCACTCCCCTGACATAGCCCAGCGTCAGCATCGTAAACGACTTCATCTATGTGAATGATTTGTATTCAGTAAAAGTTTCGAAATCTACTGCAAGACCAGAATAGGCAAAAAAAACAATAAACTATCGCTATGCCATGGAACATTCCGCGCGCGTTATCGCGTGCGACTCTGCGATCTTGTCCAAGAATGCGCCTTGTAACCCTCGACAGAGGGTACTGCGAGACCAGTACATTAGCAAGGCACTCTTATCCAACCAGACTGATTTGTTACCGACCAGCGCAGCCTGGAGAAATGGAAGGCTCAGTTATCCCGAGTGGTAGTCGTTTCAGGCTTGGTCCCCAAACCGCGTAGTAAGCAGCGACTCTTTCATCTACCTACGACACTTGTAATTCATAAATGACAAAAAGAGCGCAGTTTAGTAACCCTCCCCTCTCCTTTTGGCAGCCATTTGAGGTAGATGATTGCATGCGTATCCTAAACATGACTAGCTTGATAGGTAGGGACAGATTGTTTAGCAAAGCTCAGCGGTATGGGAGCCTTTTGCAGTATGATGCCTCTCACCACTGCCTTATCTTAGGGTGGCAGAGTAGTTG